ACCCGGGACCACCCGCAATGGACAGGATCTTATGTTGACATTTTCTCAATTAGGGCTCCCTCCCTTCAGATAACTCTAGGTCACACATCAAGTTGACATAAGACTAGTCAGTACAAGCAGTGAGTGAAGGAGGAAGAAGGGGGTGCCCACACTGTTATGCTCGCACAAGCATTGTGGTCAGGATGCCCCCAGGGCATGGAGCTGTTGGACACTTTCCTGTGCTCTTGACAGGGTGATGAGGGTTGGAGTGCCATGGCCTTAACAATGAGCAGGCCGGCTTTCAGATTCCCTCAAGAGGCTTAGGAGCAGCTTCCGGCTGAGCTCCCCCCTGCCTCAGTCCCAGGACAAGCAGGGCAGCCTGACCTGAACTCCTCTACCCCCAAGTGAGTTCCCAGGGGACACCTTCCACTCACAAGATTCTTACAGCATTTTTAAAGTTAAATCCTGAAAACATCCCCCTAGAATTTAGTGTTTACAATTCCTTACAGCTAAGAACAGGAGACAGTCCCTTCCTGCCAGGAGGGTGTCGTGGGGCAGAATCTCTTGGGGGGGGGCGGGGGTTGCTGTCTTCTCCCTGCTGGGGATGGCCACGCCATGGCATCATAAGGCTCAAGGCTCACACTCTGCCTCTGGAAGGCCGGCACCTCATCTCCTAAGGATGAACACCTACTGTGCTCCAAGCACTGCCCTGACCAAGTGGCTATTAGTGTGAGAACTAGAGCATCCCTGAGCCAGTGCACCGTCCACAGGCAGGTCCTGATGTTAATAGCTATTATAGTCACTGTTATTTGAAAGACGCCAAGCAATGTTGCTGCTGCACAGCATCGCACGGCGGGGGGGGGCTCCAACAACCTGTTTCCTCCTGTTTGCCTGGATTTCTCTACCCAGAGAGAAATCTCTTTCCTAGTCACTTTGTAGTCTGATTTTGAAAAGCCTATGAGAAAAATCCAAGTTTAATCTCCCTTGTTGCTTCCTGGGTCTCCACCCTGACTTTTGTTGGAGTGGTGGCAGGATGCCGTGGTTGAGGATGAAAGCCAGGTCTCTCTCTTCCTCTACCGCTGAACCATGGTTCAGCCCATAAACTCTTTATACCACTACTGTTTTCCACCGTGGCACCTCTGCCTTGGGTGTCTTTGATTCTCCCTCCCAGCCCAGGGAAAGGCCACAGAAGGATGCTGGGGCTGCATGGTCACCAGGCAGAATACAAAGTGTTTTATAGGTCTTTGCTCCCAAAGGGACAGGGAGGAGAGCTTCCTTTACTTAGCCTGACAAGGAGCTTTCCTTGCTGAATTTATGGCTGGTTTACTTCTGTCTCAATTTAGTGAGTCTCGGGGACTCACATTAAATGCTGATGGAATGAGCCACTTTAAAGAAGGGGGCGGGGCGGAGGGGGGCAGCCTTGGGAGATCTTCAAACAAGACCGGCTCTGTTTTTATAGATGTGTTTGCTAAGACTGTAAAACCCTGAAAAATGGCTTCCCAGCAAGGCTCAATCCGATGCTATCAGGAGACACTCAAGTCTCCTCACTGTTTAATTAAGCCCGGGGCCCCAGGGAAGACCCCAGAATGGAATTCACAGCATGTCTCTGTTGTCTGTAACTTGAGCCTGGGGTCCCAGAAAGGTGCCATGCAAAAGCAGCCCCTTCCTGCCAAAGTGGTCCCTAATTGTGCTCCTGGAGATCTGGCTGCCAGGTCAGCCGTGAACTAGATCCCAGTGACAGTGCCACAGCCGGAGGGAACTAAGGAGGGAACTAAGGACGAGGACGGCCTCCTGCTCTTCCTCCTGCAGCCTCACAGCCAGCTTGCTTTATCCTCAGCTTTGCCGTTTAGTAATAACAGTTCTAATGTTTATCGAGGCCCGTGACATCCCAGACTCCTGCGGGTACCAACAGGCGCATCCCCCACCAACTGCACCCAACCACCTTTCCACAAGACTGTGTATAGCACACATTGTGTATAGTGACACTTAGGGGGCAGGCCCAAACCAAAATGCAGCCAGTGTGGAAGGGACACCCGATGATCATCCGTGGGAATCCTCCATTATTTCTTATTTCCCAAGAAGCCCTCAGTATGGGATACTAAGGCACACATGTGGAGAACCTTAGTTCTCTCCTTGGTCTTAGCAACAAGCATCTTTACCTGCTGAGCCATCTCACTGGCCCTAATTTAATGATTTAAACCTGTGTAGTAGGCATCTGGATTTAGACATAAGCTATTTTCTTTCTCTAGAATTTTTAAATTGAGCAGTTCTGTGTATCACAGTGGGATATTTGTGTTATCTGCTCCATCATCTGCCCAGACACTGGGAAACTACTTTCTGAATGGGACGCTCTCCCAGAACATCCTGGCCCAAACTGTCCCATACATTTGCATTGGCTGGTGTGACTTTGACTCTCCATGGCCTGATGGGATGGCTCCAAATCAGAGTGGCATTGTATTGGCATGGCTTTATACCACATGGTGTGGCCGTGTAACTTCTTGGTGAGACTCTGACCAGTGCCACTACCTTTCTGCCTCTAACCTTATTCAAGTGGATTCTGTAGGTGTAATTACTTCGATAAGTGGTCCTAATACATTTTATGCCGCCCCTCTATATTCGCAATTGTGAAATCCTGTCTCTAGGGATAGCTTTTTTTTTTAACCTCTGGGCCATCTTTCATAAGACCCATAACGAACCTTGGTTGAAGTTATTCAGATGAGTGGCGTTTTCCCAAACAGTACTTTGGCTATGAAATATTTGAAAGCATGCCTCACTGCCCCTGAACTCTGAGCAGTTTAATTCTTACCAAAACATTAAACGTTATTTTAATGGGGAGTCATCACTGCTTCCGTCTGAGAACACCTGTCAGCTATACATAAACTCAGCAGTCCGGGCTGCAGCTGGATGTCATTTTGGCTTAATTCTGCTTAGTTGGATAGAAATGCATGATGGCTTCATGGGAAGATTCCTTTGCATTTTCTACAGAGCACAGAAACGCAGGTTGAGTCAGGGGCTTTCAGTACCAGATACCCACTGCAACCACCTGGAGAACTTAAAAACAAAACGGCGATGTCCCTGGCCTTCCCTGATACATTTCTTTGTGGGGGTTGAGACAGCAAGTTTTTAAAAAGTTTCCCGGGTTACCCCTGCAGCCGATCCTAGCTTCCTGCAAGACACCCCTAAAATCCCCATTGCTCTAGCACCTGCCCCATGTTTGAGGCCTCCCTGCTAGTGGGAACCTCCTCGTAAGGCGTCAGTAGCCCTCAGACATCCATAAACCCAGTGCTAACTCCTGAGGTTAAGGTTAGCACCTAGAAATCTGCCCTGGTGATGCCGGGATGAGTTCTCCAGGCAGCCGGAACCCTCCGGTGGGTGTATCTCGGATGCAGAACTGGGCATGAAGCCAGGCTTAGGGCCAGCCTTGCATGTCAGGGAGAGAGCCTGGGCCGGTTTGAACATGCTGGGGGGCCCAGAGGGGAGCTGCCTGTACTTTCCCACCTCTTTAGTGATTTGAAGATTGCGGATCTTTCCAAGCAGCCTTCCCTTGACTGTTTACACTGTAAAGTGAAAAATACCAGCGAGATCCTGCTTGTTAGACAGGAAGGCAAAGCCACCGTGCCCCCCCCCGCCCGCCGGCTCCCACAAGTCTCTCTGAAAGGGAGTTAACAATGGGTAAAATGGTGAACCGATGCCTGCACTGAGCCTGTGACTCCCCAGAACCTCCCAGTAAGGCCCTCCACCTACTCCAGGGGGACATAGGAAACACCGGTCAGAATAGCACCTGGCTCTCTCCGCACACACAGCATCTTAAGGACAGTCCCTTTCTCTCCCCACCCCAGGCACTGTTATTAGCTCCAGCTGGGCTGCTGTGCAGCCTGGGCTGTCTTAAAGTTTTGCAGAGTGTTCTCAGGACCCCATATATCAGAGAAGTGGGGGCCCTGGGGACACCGGATGAACAAGGTGTGCACATGGCTGTCATTCTTTACTTGGGGGGAGACCACCTTAGTGGGGAAATGGAAGGTCCTGGAGCCAGATTGGGGGAGAGGACCATGTGCCACTTAACAGGGAAGGGGCTTAGGAAACCTAGTCCTTGCACAACATGGAGTACACATTCACAAACCCTGAGGGCCAAGGGCACTGCACACGGACTCCTCATGCAGCCCTGAGAGGCCGCAGACAGGAGATGCTGACAATGCTTTCCTAAGTAGGATTGTACTCTAACCACCAAAAATGTCGTGGGTGGTAGACGCAGCTAAGGGCACTGTGATTACCAAGCATCTCATCTTGCTCATACTTCCGTGCTGGGCTATGCTTGTAAAGACTGGGAGAGCTGTTGTGTTTATGCCAGTGTCACCAACACTTGGGGCTGAGGTCCCCTGGTTTGCAAGGGAGCCATCTTGTGGTGAGAACATTCTAGTCGTTTTTCTTCCTATAAAGTCACTAACTCATCCTGGGTGTCCTGCCCTCATTACCTTGCCTAATCACCTCTGTATAAGTGACATCGCTGTGACAAAACACTGGACAACTCCATATTTAAGGTTTTAGGTGCAATCCTTCGTGGTGGGAAAGACAGGAGCTTAAGGTAGTCGGTTCCACAGTCAGGAAGCGGTATATAACAAATACTGGTGCTCAGCACATTCAATCCAGGACCTCTGGGTCCATGCCATGGTACCACCCACATTAAGGGTGGCTCTTTGCATCTCTTCCCAACCTGGTCATTATTACTTCACAGGGATGCCCAAAGGTTTGTGTCCATGGTGATTCTGAATCCTATCAAGTTGCCAATGAAGATTAACCATTGGCCAAAGCCTCAACTGCCTGCCCCAGCCACTGGGGGCTAGGGATTCAGTGTACACTTCCGGGAGGCATAAGCATGCCTTCTTGAAGCAACTCTTCTAACAGGCAGTGAGCATCCTTGACTTGCAGATACTGTAGACACTTGGGAATGACATGCCCGGGAGCAGCTTTATGGTAGGGCCACCTCATACACCCTCGGCTCAGGCTGTCTTTGTCTCTGGCAGTGTTCATCCACGTGCGGGAAGGGGCTCCAGTCCCGTGTGGTTCAGTGCATGCATAAGGTAACTGGACGCCATGGCAGTGAGTGCCCCACCCTCTCAAAGCCAGCAGCCTACAGACAGTGCCACCAGGAGGTTTGCAATGACAAGATTAATGTGAACACCATCACCTCCCCTCGCCTTGGTGAGTACCTCCCCTGACCCTGGCTTCTGGGTGCCACTGTCCCCTCCTTGGAACAGTAGAGGGGCCAATATCTGCTAGGGCTAAAGAAGGTCCAGAGGTGCTTGGCCGTCACCCACAGCATCCTTGGAGCATCCCACTCAGCCTTCTGCCAACACAAGAGGACAGCCTGAACCTTGACCCCTGTATGTGAGGAGGGTGAAGAGTCGTACTCCTTTCTGGAAAGATTCACCAGGATATCTGCACGGCATCCTCTGTGCCATGATGGGTCTACACACAGACAGGATGGAGAGGTTACAGTCCTTGTGTAAGCAGTTTGGGTCTCGGTGCTCAGAACAAGACTGCTTGCACACCAGTAGTCCAGCCAGAGGTGGGATAACATGAGGACCATCTAATGCCTTAGCAGAATACAAAAGAGACTTACGGAAGGGCTTGTCGGTCTATGTTTTAACCCACTGTCATGAGGAGGTTATGGTAGCCCGACGTTGAGACAAATGGACATATTGTGTCCACAGTCAGAAAGCAGAGAGAGATGAACGCTGTGCTCACCTTTCTCCTTTTTAATTCATTCCAAGCCATCAGGCTATGGAACGGTACCCCCTCTCCACTCTCAGGATGGGACTGCCAACCTCCTTTAACCCACTCTAGGTAATTCCTGATGGACATGCCCAGAGGCTTGCCCTCTGAGTGATCCAAGGTCATGTTAGGTTAACAGCATTCGACACCACACTACCCAGAGCCCCTTAGCTGCCAGAGAGAGTTCTCCAAGCAGCTTCTATCTGAGTCAGGGAGCTGCTGAGCTCATAGAGAGAACACCCATGTCTGTTGCCAGCATGAGTCTACTTGGTAAGGCTTTCTCTATAGAGGACTGAGACCCTGAAAGAAATGTGAGGTATTTGTTTATCCTTCCACTTTGCATTTTTGTGGGTTTTTTAATGTCCATTGCTCCATGTCACTGTGTTTTATAAATGCCATCAGAAGCAGTATGGGTCTATCACAAGCCAGTTCCTTCAAGCCCAGGAGCAAGGTGTCTGATGTCTCCTGCTCTGAAAAGGCAGCAGGAGTACCTCAGGCAGGGGTTGGATGCAGAGGTAGATCTGTAGGAGAAAGTAGCGTCTGTATAGCCCCAGCTGCCCATGAATTTATGCAAAGCTAATACGTACTTGAAGGTAAGAGAGAGTGATATAACCATGAGTGGCTTCTGTGTCTTTAACCACGGCCTTAACCCTCTGGGCACTCACGTGTTCTTTCCGCTGTCCTCTTAGCTGCCCTGACCTACAAATGTACACGAGACCAGTGGACAGTATACTGCCGGGTCATCCGAGAGAAGAACCTCTGCCAGGACATGCGGTGGTACCAGCGCTGCTGCCAGACCTGTAGGGACTTCTATGCAGATAAGATGCGCCAGCCGCCCTCTCCACCAAGCTCATGACGCACAGCACAGTGCTTGCTCAAAGCTCTGCCTCAAGATCCGAGGTCTGGCAGTGAGTGAATGAAGAGCCCTCACCTACCCAAAGCACACCAGCCCCGCAGCCAGGACCCCCAAAGCACTCCTCTGCTCCCACAATAAGGCTGCCTCGAGATTCCAGTTGCATAGAGCTAGAGAGTGGACTTGACATGGCCATTTGTCTTTTGAACATAATATATTGTTAACGGCCACTGGATGGCTTTCTAAGGAAAAACTACACAAGAGTCACAAAACAATTTTAACTTCCAAGATCCTATGTACCTCAAAGGGAACGCCTCTGGCAGATAATTATTGAGAGAGAGAGAGACAGAGAGAGAGAGAGAGACAGAGAGAGAGAGAGACAGAGAGAGAGACAGAGAGAGAGACAGAGAGAGAGACAGAGAGAGAGAGAGAGAGAGAGAGAGAGAGAGAGAGAGAGAGAGAGAGAGAGAGAGAGAGAGAGAGAGAGAACACTTAAACAAGAGTGTTAGTGCTTCTGCCCTGGCTTCCTGTTAACATTTGAATTCCTCAGGCTTGATGGAACTTTGTGGAAATATCCTGGAAATGAGATATCACATTAGGAGGGGCTCTAACCTGAAATTGAGCAATGTGCTGGTTGACCAGCCTCTACAGTGGCTTCTCTGGAAGAGGGCTTTGCTGCCTTGCCTGAGCACAAGAATTAAGGCTTTGCCTCTGCCCATCTCAAAAACATACAGTCTCAAACTCCTAGTCTTTACCTTAGAAATCTTGCCCCTGAGAGTTTAAATCTGAACAGGCCAACAAGAATACCAGTGCCACATAGTTCCGCACCCCACATATGGCAGGGTGGGGAGCATCCCTCAAGAGCTGGATTTGGGAAGCCACTCAGCGGTGTACCCCACAGGGAAACAGAGAAGCCTTTCCTCAAGGTGCTATGAAAAGGGGCGTGTGCACATGGTGCACAGGGTTGCTTCCTGACGTAAAGGCACCCTTAGCTTCCTCAGGGGTGTGCCAGCTCCCACTCTGCCTCCACGCATGTCCACTTGGCCAGCACTCCATAAGGCTTTGCACATTATATATGTTCCGCATCTTGGCCAAGTAGCTTCCCATTGCGGGTGGCCTTTCTTCTGAAGTTAGGATGATGTTCAGGACATCTGAGGACACACATCAGTCAGTCCTGGGTTCTGCAGCATAAGGGTTGACTTCGGTATCTGGGCACAAGGCAGGTGTGCCAGAACTTTTGGAGGAATACCGCCTGATTGAAATTGCTGCACAGCCATCAAGCCTTCCTCTAACCAAGATCTCATGGCTGGTACCTTCATTGTTCACAGCTGTCATCACTGACCCATCCCGACGTGACATGGAAAGATGGAGAAGGTCCTCTCTTCCATCCCCACGCCTTCACTTTCACCACAGAACTTTTCTGTCTCCAGAAGCACAGAGAAGTAACCAGACTGACCTCTCCAAGAGTGGTGGACCAGCTGCTAGTCTCCTGGCTGCTGCAGGAGACTGGCTTGGCTTCACATCTTGGTGGGTCTTCTTGGGTGCTTATGTTTGGAACTACCTTGAGACCCATCTTCTCCTGGTGTCAGATAGAAGCTCTTGGGCCAGTTTCCATGGGATCATCTCCAAGTACTTTTTGACTTATTGGTGCTGTTTCTATTTTAGTATAGGGATGTTTGTTTTTGTTTTTTATTTTACTAGCCCATCACAGAGACGTGGTAGGGGTGGCAGGGAGCTTGATTCCACTTGAACTGAAAAGGAGTGTTGATAAACCTCCTTAGGTGCTCTAAGAGACTGTCAGGGTGAAGTAACCCCCTGGGTCACCCCCCCCCCAGTGAGGTGCTAAACACTGCTCCCCCACTCACTTCTGATCACCAGCAGACTCCCCAACCTGTTTCTAAAAGCCGCAGATTCCAGGGAGTTTTGGGGGGAGTGGAGGAAGAGGTGCTGTCAACTTTCCTTCAGCCCAACATCTGTTAATTTACCCAAAGACATTCATAGTTTGGAGCCAGAAAGCAGTGAGACCGCCAGCATAGCCAGCTCGGGAAGCCGCACAGTTTCCCATAGGTGTGACTGTCCCTCGTGCCTCTGATGCCCCACTGCCATCTGTCCCCATTAATGTTGAGCCCCCCCCCACGCATGCCCTTTCTGAGCAAACGCTGGCCTTGTCGCTCTGAACTCCACCATGACGCTTTCCTTCTGTTGTGCCCAGAGCCATCAAAGCTCTGGGGTCTCAACGGTGATGTTTCTGTGTTAGACCCTCCCTGTCACTCACGTACTGTACCTTCGTGGTTACACAGATGTGTCACTAGCGTCTCACAATCTCATGGTGCTATTCGTACTGGTGCAAGACAAGCCACTGGCTGTTGTCTGTGGCTCGATGGATCAGAGCACAGGAAAGGAGGCTGAGTGGCAGCCTCTCCTTTGCTCTTCTCTCTTTTTTCACTTTAAAGTCTAATGTATGTATTTCCCACTAGTTAACTTACATTCAGTACTGTGCCCGTGGGTTCTGTCTTGTTTTGTTTTACTTTGGGGTGCTGGTTATGAAAGAAAACAAAAGATGAAAAACATTGGATGCCATCGTACATGAAAAATACATCATTTCATTGGAAGCAAGTCGAATATGTGTAATAAAATGTTTTTCCACAATGGTTTTAAGCTCTCTGGAAAGTCGAAGACAAAAGCCAGTCCTTTGGGGCTGATGGAGGGGCCGGAGCCCTTCCCTGCTGCGGCAGTAGCCAGGTGTTCCTGAGACAGGGTTGTGGGGAACTGTGGCCACAGAGATCACTAGTAAATACAATGCTGGTAGGGGCCTGCATCTCCCCAAGGAAACGCTAATAAATTCGTCAGCCTCAGGCCTCCTCCCTGCTGGACAATGCCAAGGCCTGGCACTGCCGATGAGAAGCAGCCACTGGCTAGTGTACTGGAGTGAATGACGGTGTTAGGGAGCACGGATCCTCACCACGCCATAGTAGGTTCTCACTTCCCCCAGCAACCTGCCTCCTGCCCCACTCTCCGCTGCCAGCCCTACCAGCGGCTGTGAGGACAGGGACAGAGCACAGACACCATGTCTCCACAACTGGGACAGCCATGTGGAGCCTGCCTGGGCCTGCTTGGAGGCAAGGGTGTCACAGCTGGGGTGAGAGACAAGTATTCCATCTCAGTGGGGTCACCAGTGACTTTCTAGTTTCAGGTTGTGTAGACCAACTGAGGACATTTTGGAAGAGCATCCAAAATGTGCACCAAATAAGGACAATTTGCTTACCAGAAAGCTTTTCGAAGTCATCGTGACCCCTCCACCCCCCAGCTGGGTCTACCCAGCTATTGTAAATGCCCAAGGCAGGTAACTTTATAAAGAAAAGTTTATTTTGGACCATGGTTCAAAAGGCCCAAGGTCAAGATAATGACTTCCCTGCTGGCAAAGTCCCAAGGCAGCAGAGAGCATCAGCCGGTGAGGAAAGAGCGAGCTTGTGTGTTTCCCTGGGGCCCTGTTCCTTCTTCTTATGAAGCTGCCAGGACACAGCTTTGCCCCATGACCCTGTCTATTCCTGACCACCTCCCAGAGGCCCTAGCACCAGAACACCACTGTCAGATTGAGTGCCTGCCCTCTCTACCTTTTGACATGTAGATTAGACTTCTACAAACTGTGTTTACACTCAGCTCCAGAAAATCTGTACTAGTCACACTTGTGACCATCCCTCACCTGCCCCTAGTACTTGGGAGAACTTTCTCCTTCCTCAGAGCTTTCCAATGTGGGGGTTGGGGTGGGGACAGAAGCAGAGATTTGAGCAAGGGATTTATCTGAACACTAAATAGCCCCAGTGTTTCTGGTTTGTTCGACGAAGCTGGCATGGTCCCCCATCAATGAGCATTTACTAGAACAGTCCAGAACACAAAAGAGCAGCCTCTTATGCAGACCAGCCTAGAAGACCACACAACAGGAAATGCAGAAGCCAAGGGACTTCAAGGAAGAAGCCAGGACCACAGGGGAGCCTGATTGATCTTAGAGACACAGAGCAGCAGAACAGCAGTGCCCCCTCCCTCCCTCCCTCAGTGAGTGAAGCAGTGCTCAGTGTCCTCCAAGGCCACACCGCACTGAACTCTGACCCTGTTGTGTCTCCTTGCTACCCTGTGGTCTCCACCCTGGTTTTCATGCCCTGGTGTGCCCTGATACTGGTTTGGATGGGTCACCAGTGACTTTCCAGTTTCAGGTTGTGTAGACCAACTGAGGACCTGCCCGGCTCCCAACAGCCCTCTCCTGTGATGTACCCCTCCCCCTCCCCCACCCCAGCCTGTAGTACCACATTCCAGACTTTCCCTAGCTCTCTAGGTGATGGAGTAGCTTTGGGGGAGCCTAAGCTCAGCCCCATCCCAATCTTTCAGCCAGGCCCAAGGCTTTAAGAACTTAGTGTGACTCTCCCAAGTGAGCATCCTCCATCCTGAGAACTCCTGAACTCACACACGCCTCTCCCAAAGGATGTGATCAGTCCCGCAGGAAGCTCCAGGCCTGGGATGTGCCAGCACTAGAAGGAGAAATGTTCCATCCACCCTGTTGTTACAGGGCTTCCCATTGACTGGAGGGTACCCACCCACATTCTGAAGAGAGTTCATTCTGCTCAACAGTCTGGTTCCAACGTCTGTGTGAAACATTCAGACTCACCCAGACATCATCTGGCCAGGTAAAGTGACACATAAAATCATCACACATCGTGACATGCGAAACTCGCTGTTTGTTCTGCCTCTGGAGTCTCATCCCATCTGGTTCAGGCTCCAGCTCCAAGATCAAGTCATTTCAGGCATATGCAGATGAGGCTCCTCCAGGGTGGTCCCAGGACATAAGCGCTTTCTCTGTATCTGCGAATACCCAAGAGACAATTCTGGGACGAACAGAACAGAGGTTCGCCAGTCCCGGGTGGGCAGAGGCTCGCAATAGAGGAAGAGAGTGCTCCACAGTCCCTGAACAGCAGCTCTCAGGTTCCTCGGGGCAACTGTTGGGGGATCCACTAGGCTTCATCATGCTACTGAAGTATTGATTCTCTATGGACTACCCTGGTACCCGGAGGACTCCACTTGGAAATTGAACCAGGCTCTTCCTTGTCCGTGCTAGGTACTCTACCACTGAGCAACATCCTGAAGACCTTTTTAAGATTTCAGGATAGGTCTCCCTTGAATTCACAGAGGAGCTGGATCGCAGAAGACTAGGCCACCAGATGTGGCTTTGTTATTTGTTCTTGACAGCAGAAGAGGATGCAGCATGGTGTGGTACTCTATCCCGGAACTGTCCTGGGCCATTGCTCTACCGCTGTGACTGGTGTCGGGTGCAGCCTGGCTTCCTTTCTGCTCTGTGACCTCCCATGTAACCTGCCGCTTCTTCCCATCTGGTCTGGCTGTCTTCATCCTGGATGTGATATTCTATGCTATGTTGGCTCTTTCAGAACACAGTGGAAGAGCTGAACACTGGCCCTGGGGAAAGCATTCCTGCGTGCACACTCCTACTGAGTGCACATTCGGTGGCCATTCTCCTATCTGACCCATGCTAATGCTGTCCTCACAAATATCTTACACCTAGCAGAGTTGTTTGCTGGGGGCTAATTCTTGGTCAAAATTGTGGGAGTGCTTTGATGGCAGTGAGATGCCTTAGAAGGCAAAGGTCCTTACTGCCAGGACTGATAACCTGCGTTCCATCCTGGTACCCACCTGGTGGAAAGAAAGAACTGAGTCCCTCAGGTTGTCCTCTATTGTCCACATGCTGTGACACATGCATGCTTTGTCATGACATGTCATGCACGCACACACACAAATAAATGTAATTTTACAAGTTGTGGGAATCCACTGTCATCAGACAGGATGCTAAAACTTTTAAGCCCAAGACATCCATTGAATAAGAATGTGTTGTGGATACCATGTCCTGTTTAATTCTTTACATCTTTAGACAATACTAAAATATGCCACTCTTGGGGCTTGCATGGATAGCTCAGGGGGGAACACATGCTCATGATGGACATGGTACTACATTCTATCCTCAGCGTGTAGATGACACTATATTCTATCCTTAGCTCCAGAAATTATATAATAAACTGACATTCTCACTATATTAAATGTCACAATTTACTCTTTTACCTAGGGCGAGGAAGGGGTTTCATAAGCTTCCATCTAGCCTAACACTGCAATGGCTCTTCATGGCCCAGGTCCATCCATCCTAACTCTGCATTCAGTGTCAAGGTGGCTTCATGGACCCACTTGAGCCACTATGAAAGAAAATGGTCCTGAAGCTGGACCAGTTATATCTGACTTTTAAAGGGGAGACTATGATGACACTCTGGATTCTGGTTACAGCTTAGATCCAATGTACACTGATAATCTAGATGTCTAGAATGTTACCCTCCACAAGGTAGTGGCTGAAAATCCTTTGGGGGAAAAGTGTGGCACTGACAACTTTCTTCCAGGGACCCAACTTGAGCTTTAGTCCGTGGATTCTAAGCGTGAGGTCTGGCTGAGGGCGGAAATGAGAGAACCTGCCATGACTTTTAAGGGAACAGTTGCTCTTATGATCATCTGTCCCTTCTGTTTAATATATAAATTGAGTCAAAGCCTTGTGAGCCTCCCACCATCTTGCCCCAGTAGATGGTTTTATTAACTATCTCTAAGCTTCTCTGGAGGTAAGGACTTTTTCCTGCTGCTACTCCGACATTTCCACTCATTTTAATAATTATACCTCCCCTCCCAGTCTTTCACTATTAAGAACTGCGATGCTAGACCTAGAGCTAGAGAGCTGGTTCAGCCCCTAAGACATTGACTTCTGTTCCAGGGAACCCCGGCTAGACCCCCAGCACTCACATGGCAGCTCACAGTCATCTATAACCCCAGCTCCAAGGGATCTGATGTCCTCTTCTGGCCTCATGGGCACTGCACAAAAGTGGAGCCGTCATACATGCAGGCAAAACAACCATACACTTAAAATAATGATAATCTCCAGCCTCTATTGTGACAGACTACTAATCTCATCTCTGTCACTTCCCTAGTCATTACGTTAAAAGTGTAGCCTTGGCTGGGAGTGCTGTGTGCACCTTTAATCCCAGCACTTATGAAGCAAAGGCAGGTGGATCTTTGAGTTCAAGGTCAGCCTTGTCTACGCAGCAAGTTCCAAGACTGCTAGGGTTTATGTAGAAAAACTCTGTCTCAAAAAACAAATATCTTGCCGGGCATTGGTGGCGCACACCTTTAATCCCAGCACTTGGGAGGCAGAGGCAGGTGGATCTCTGTGAGTCCAAGACCAGCCTGGTCTACAGAGTGAGTTCTAGGATGGGCTCCAAAGCCACAGAGAAACGCTGTCTTGGGAAAAATAAAATCTTGGCCCCTGCCCTCTACTTGTAGGCAACTTGATTCCTTCTGCTGCCAAGGAAGCCGTCTGATGGCACTCCTCACTTCCGGTCTGATGGCGCTCCTCACTTCCGGTCTGATGGTGCACCTCACTTCCGGTCTGATGGCACACCGCACTTCCACCCGGGGATTAACCGGCAGCAGTGCTTCTCTTGTCTCTTTGCATCCCTAATGCGTATCAAGAGCCACTGTGTCCGTGCCTGATCATCTCTATTTCTCCACACCACACAAAAGACTTGAGCTAATGGACCAAGAGGGAAGGGTTAGCC